AAAAAAAAAAAAAAAAAAAAAAAAAAAAAAAAAAGAGGCATCAAATTTAGCCGCAGGCGTTGGTGTTTGTATGGGTCCTGGACCCAATCCCTGAGACTCAGGGCTAGTTCTGGTTGCATGGGTGCCTATACACAAGTAGCCCAGAGTATCCAGCCACAGGAGGAAGTGAAATGGTGGCCCATGATCTGAAACACCTCTAGGACCAACAAGTCAGGGTAGCCCACCTGAGAGAGGTGAAGGTGAGGCATCTATGTCCCTCTGTGCCAGTTCGGCAGGTGGCAGTTCCACTTTGTCCTCTTCAGGCCCCCATCGACTCTTCCGCTTCCTCTTCACAGTGGCCGTGGTGGTGGGCTTTCCAGGGATGGACGGAGTGGGGTTGACAGCAGGTGCTGGGGCCACTGGAGTGGGGCAGGCAGTGATGGGGGGCACAGCCCCTGACAAGGTTTCAGGGGCTGACTTGCGCCGCAGGCTGGGGTTGGGAGCAGGAGCAGGGAAGGAGCCTGTGGAGCCTGCCTTGGCTTTCCGAAACTCCTCCAGCTTCTGCCGGTAGTATCTGTACCCTTGGCTGTTGGGATCATAGAGAAAACTGCAAAGAAAAGTGGGGGACAACATAGCTGGGTTGAGACCTGGTCCTGCTTACTGGCGTTAGAGCAGAGCAGGCTGTATGCACTCAGGGTTGCTGGAGTCACTGTCCAGTCATACCTCAGTCAGAGGCAGTATATTGCAAGCCTGTATCAAGGCCCCTTCAGTCAGAGGCTCCTACTGGGATGTGACAGGCACCCTCAGAACCTCCCCACCCAGTAATGACCTTACATCAGAAAATTCTGAGCTGTTGGGAGACCTTGGATACCCCTCCTTCAATTCCAGCCACATCTCCACTGCACCTCCATGTGCTGGGTTTCAGTCCCACCTTGAAGGTAAATAAGTGGCTTGGGAGCAGAAGCACTCATTCCCTAAGAGCTGTAGGCAGATGGGAATGCAGGGGACAGAGACAACAAAGACCTCAGCTCTTCTCCACTGCCTGCTTCTCTGACAGGGCAGAATGGAGTGACTTGGCCCAGTGTTCCCAGTTTTATGTGGCAAATACCAAAAAAGACTTAGCTATACGTACACACAGTACAGGGGACTTGGTCCTGGATTGAAGACTGAGGATTCAAGATGTGGACTTGTGCCCATGAATCTGGAGCTGGTCCCAGCATAGCTGTACCCCACAAAAGAGCTGTGGTCTTGGTACCCCAGGGGCTGTCTGAAGCCTGTTGGTACCTAACTCTCTGTGCTCTGTTTTCTCAGGTCCCGCCCAGCCCTGAGGTCCCTCAGTCATTTATAAAATAATCATTCAGAGGCTTAATATTAATTATCAACTGTATGTCCTATGGCAGGCTTCTTGCTAGCTAGCTCTTACAGTTTAACTCAACTCCTAACTATTCATCTATGTATCACCACATGTTCCGTGGCTTCACCTGCATCCCATTACATGCTGCTCTCAGGATGGCAGTCTGGCATCTCCCCAACTCCACCTTCTCTTTCCTGTCTCTCTCCTTGGAGTTCTCACCTGCCTCTAAGCTGTCTTGTCATAGGTCAAAGCAGCTTACTTATTAACCAATAGGAACAACATATATTCACAGCATAAAGACATCCCTCAGTACTTCATGCCAGTAGGATTTGATGAAGGAGGCAGAGGCAGGAGGATCTCTGTGAATTAGAGGCCAGCCTGGTCTACAGAGTGAGTTCCAGGATAGGCTCCAAAACTACACAGAGAAACCCTGTCTCAAGGAAAAAAAAAAAAAAAAAAGACAGAAAGAAAAGGAAAAAAAATGGAATAAACAAAGAATGGAATAAATGGAAAATGGAATAAACGGAGAAAAAAATGGAATAAATGGAGAGTGCTGTGTAGCTGTGTGTGCATCTCCTGCCCCAGCAGCCATGCCCCAGGGGCATGTACCTCAAGGTCATAGCAGTGTTACTAAGGGCAGTGCTTCAGGGCACGGCTCAAACAGCCGTCCACTACAGTGCTCAGATGCTCAACCTCTCCTATAAACGTTGTAGATTTGCACAGAGCCTATACACACACACTCTTCAGGGCAGAGATCAGCAGCAAGTGACTGAAAATGCCTTAAACAATGGCAGTGGAGCTGCCCTGTGCTGTTCAGGGAAGGACTGTAGTCTGCACACACGGCACTGAGGAAGCATGCCTTTGAATAGTTTCACCATGTGGCTTGAAAATGTTTGGTGGTGCACCAGAGGACACAGGAGCAGATATGAGGCTTCCTTTTGCATGAGCAAGAACCTCCCACAAAGCTCCATAGATTCAGTCTGTGTGTCCACATGAGCCCTAGGAGACAGCTGGAAGAAGTTTGCTAACACCTGCCACCTGGGGAGGGCAGACCAGGAAAACCAGAAAATGGTGTCTCCTTTGTCTTCCTGGGTCATAGTATAAGCATGACCACGTATAGGCCATTAGTAAAAGAGACAAGGGGGCTAGAGAGATGGCTCAGGGAATAAGAGCACTAGTTTCTCTTAAGCAAGACTAGGGGGTTCAGTTCCCAGCAAGCACATGGCAGCTGACAACTGTCTGTAACTCTAGTTCCATGGGATCTGACATCCTCTTCTGACCTTCATCATATGAACACATGCAGGAAAAACCCACATACAATTCAAAAACAGATTTTTTTTTTTTAAGAGACAAAGCTCTGGCCTTTAATCCTTGTACTTGGGAGGCAAATGTAGAAGGATTTCTAAGTCTAAAGTCAGTGGTTCTAGACAAGACAGAGCTGCAGAGTCTCCTGCCCCCCTCCCTCCACACCCCTAGGATCCAAGTACTTGAGAGGCTGAGACAGGAAGATGGAGAGTTCAAGGCCAGCCTGGGAGACAAAGGCAGAGGAGCCTGCCCTTAAATAAAAATGGAAAGCAGTACAAAATGCACACCCCTTAACTTTGGGCTAGAAAGATGGCTCAGCCATTAAGAGCAGTGGTTGCTCTTCCAGAGGACTTGGATTCAGTTCCCAGAACACACATGCATCACAACTGTTATAACTCCAGGCCCAGGAGACAAAACACCCTCTTAAGGCTCTGCAGGCACTAGGCATGCAAGTGGTACACTGTCATCCATATATGCAAAACACACATACACATCAAAACAAAACAAACAAAAACCTGACAGGCTGTAGTGGCGTATGCCTTTAATCCCAGCATTCAGGAAGCAGAGGCAGGTGGGTCTCTGTAAGTTTGAGGCCAGCCTGGTCTGCAGAGCGATTTCCAAGACAGTCAGGGCCACACAGAGAAACCCTGTCTCAAAGAACAAAACCAAACACCAAACCAAACCAAACCCCAAAGTAAGCAACCCCCATCCTCTTCGGCTTTTGTTCACACCATGGACTGAAGAATGAAGAACCAAGCAAACCTCCTTTTTCTCTACAATCTACCAAGCCTAAGGAACACTGACAGCATCTAGAACTGAACAAAGACACTATTTCAAAATATGGGACATGCTCCTCAAACAAACATCTTTCCTTAGTTTCCTTGCCCCTAAGAACTCAGCATCTGATCTGGGTGTGGTGGCTCATGCCTTTAGTCCCAGTACTAAGGAGGCAGAGGCAGGTGGACCTCTATGAGTTTGAGACCAGCCTGGGCTACAGAGCAAGTTCCACTCCAGCCAGGGCTACACAGAGAAACCTTGTTTTTAAAAAAAAAAAAAAAAAAAAAAAAAAAAAAGAAAGAAGGAAGGAAGGAAGGAAGGAAGGAAGGAAGGAAGGAAGGAAGGAAGGAAGGAAGGAAGGAAGGAAAAGAAAAAAGCCAGGAGGCAGAGGCTGGCAGATCTCTGTGAGTCTGAGGCCAGCCTAGTCTACAGAGTGAATTCCGGAACAGGCTCCAAAGCTATAGAGAAACCCTGTCTTGGAAGACAAAACAAAGAAACAAACAAAAAACAAACACACCAGAAAATAAAAATGAACTGAGCATGCCAGGACGTGGCTCACACAGCACGAGGCCGGCTGCCTTCCAGCAACTGTGCCGACATTAGTCCCTGAGGCTGGATGTTAGATCTGTGATTAACATTTCTGTTTTACAAGGTAGAGCCTTGCTAATCCTCCTGCCTCAGCTTCCTGAATCTGGTTTGTTGCTACTGCTGTATCCTAATTTCGGATGACACATCTGACATGCTTTCTGGGGCACAGCTTAGCAATGTGTTGGCTTGCCAAAGGAACATGCCTGACACATAGCTACAAAGGGGTCTTTCCCTGTTGTTTGTTTGAGATAGGGCCTCACTATGTAGCCCTGGCTAGCTGGCCTTAAACTCACAGACTCACCTGCCTCTGCTCTCCTTAGTGCTGGAAACAAAGGCTTGCACCACCAGATCTAACTTGAAAAAAATTTTTTTTGTTTGTTTTTGAAGACAGGGTTTCTCTGTGTAGCCTGGCCATCCTGGAACTCTCTAGATCAGGCTGGCCTTGAACTCACAGAGATCTGCCTGCCTCTGCCTCCAAAGTTCTCAGCTTAAAGGCATACCAACCCTTAGGCTATAAAGTTTTTAACCAGGCTACAGGGTGCACAAGGTATCTGGCCACATTAGGGAGTAATGGGCACACCCTCTAAGACAGGAATGCAAGGAGGTGCCACCTGTCTACCTGGCCAGCTTGGGCTTCATGGCTACCTGACATTTAATCAAATGTGATGATTAGTTTTCATTATCAACTGGACACAACCTAGAGTCATTTGGGAAGAGAGTCTCATGAGGGAATGTCTGGATCAGGTTGGCCTGTGGGCATGCTTAGGAAGGGTTATCTTGACTATGGTAACTGGGGTGGGAAGAGCTGCCTACTGTGTTAGGGTCTTGGGCTGAACACTGGCAAGCATGCATTTATTCTTCGAGCTTTTGACTGTGGCTGTGACTAGCTGCTGTAAGTTACTGCCACCTCTCCCCAGGAAAGACTGGAACCTGGAACTGAGAGCCAAAATAAGCCTTCTCCCCTCAGCTGCTTTGCTCAGAAACTTTTCCATGGCAGCTAGAAACAAAGCTAACCCAGCAAGTGAGACTCAACTATCCATTTCATTCAAACTCACATGTCTTGTGGGCACTGGACAACAAATGCCCCATTCGTTCCCCAGTCTGGGGAGTCACAGGGATGGGAGTGGGAATAGTCTCCTGTCAGCCACTCCACATCCCAGGTACGCACCCAGTGTCAATGACAGTTATCCTGAGGCTAGGCATCTACTGCCAGATCCTTCAGGCGGACAAAGAGCCAGGCAGGAGGTTCAGGGCCACCCAAGTCAACTATACCTTGGTGAAAAGCTGCATGGGGCTGGACCTTGACCTCCTGAGAGGCAGGGCCTCAGAATAAAGTCCCATCACTCTGCCCAGTTGTCCTGTGCCAGACAGACCTCCATAGAAAATAGAACATGAGTTTGCCGGGCGTGGCGGTGCACACCTTTAACCCCAGCACTCAGGAGGCAGAGGCAGGTGGCAAGTGAATCTCTATGAGTTCAAGGCCAGCCTAGTCTACAAAGCCCTGGACAGCCAGGGCTGTTACATAGTAACCCTGTCTGGAAAACCCAGGGGAAAAAAAAGAAAGAAAAAGAAAAAGAAAGCCAATGAGCTCTCATTTAAATGCACTCAGTAGATACTTTATAAAGGTTGCATACACCTGTCACAGCAAGGCAGGAGGAGGGGCAGGGATCCCAGGGCAGTCCTCGCTGCACGGCTAGACTCTGCTAGCTCCCTTCAGCCTCACGGCACACTGCCTTCCAGAGCATAGGGCACAAGGCACAGAGAGTCTAAACCTCAGGCCCACTGGTGATCCAGCCCTCTTTGGTTCCCACTCCTCACACCATGACGCTTCTGTTCTCTGCTGCTCCCTCATCATAAAAGGCATCCCAAGACCACATCCAATAACTGCCATCTGTCACAGGAACAAGGCAAAGGCTACATTGTCTGTTAGACACATGGGAGAAAGAGACCAGTGTGCCTGCTCAGATACCACTCAAGAAACATATCCATGAGCTCTGGAGTCAGAAACTGCCAGGCTAGCCTGGCGTGGTGGCATTTGCTTTTAATCCCAGCACTCAGGAGGCAGAGGCGAGAGGATCTCTTGAGTTCCAAGCTAGCCTGACCTACAGAGTGAGTTCCAGAACAGCCAAGGCTGTCTCAAAATAAAAAACATAAAAGAAAAAAAGAGAAACCCTTACACATGGAGTTCTACACCTTCACCTGCATGGGCCATGGCCAAGGTGAATTTGAACTATCCACCACAGGTTAATGTTCTCAACACCTGGTCCTTTTAAGTGGTGATACTCTGGAGGGAGCCTTCAGGAAGAGTCCACCAGTGGCCTCTGCGGATCACAGTCTGGCCCCTGACCCAGGTGCTCTCTGCTTCCTGGTCAGTGCAGACAGCAGGGCCTCTGCCGACACACTGTAGACTCCATACTGCCTTCCTAGCCACGGTGGAGAACAGCCGGGGAGACATGAGCCAACACCCCCCCCCCCCCCCGGTCTGCATACACACACAGAGCCTTACCTGAAGGCCTGATTCTCGCGGTTATTCTGTAGGGCGATGGTCTCCACCTCAGGACCCCCGTCTGCTATGAACCTGGCCAACTTTTCTGCAAGGTTCTTGGCCTCTTCGTCCTCTGGGGGTGAAACTTTAAGCAGGCTGTCAGTACTGAGTTCAACTCACCACACCCAACAGCCTAATTCCTGCTAAAGAGCCCCGCAAGGGCGAGCGGGACTTGTCTTAGGAACAGTGCAAAGAGAGACAGGCAAACGGGAATCAGATTATTATAGGGACCAAAACCAGAGAAATATCACAACTATACAATCCCACCCCACCCCGAAAGTACAGGGCACTGGGGGGCTCACCCTCCTGCAGTGATTCAAACATGTTTCCACACATCAGACTCCTGTTGCCTACCAGAGCCCTGACCCACAGACCCATCCCATCCACCTCCTGCTGTTTGTCTCCAGTCCACCTACTTGGCATCAGGTACCACACCTGCCTTGGGCGCACATGGAGCTAGAGCTAACCCAGAACTTGTCCACATGACAATGGAATGCTCCCTTGGCCCATTCCCATGTTCTAATGAGCATCTGGACAAACCCCAGCCCCATAAGCCCGACATGGCACAGTCCCACGTCCTAGAGCCAATCCTGGTACTCAGAATTCAGCTGGTCCTGGGGACCTGCAGGTGTGCCGACACATCCCAAGAGTAACTGCCACTGCCCATGAGGGCACAGGTTCTGACTGCCACATCCCACAGTGCTCCTTGCCCTCCTCCAATCACTTACCTTTCTGGGCGGCTGCCTGTGGCTTTTGGGCTTCCTTCCTGATCTCAGCTACCTTCTTTCTGTAGTACAGGAATTCCCTGCTATTCTTATCATGTAAAAATCTGGAAAGGGATTTGGAACATGGGAAACAAGGTTCAGTGGCGGGCAAAGCTGAGGCCCCACTGCAGAGCCCTCAGCAGGGCATTTACAAAGTGCCCAAGGCTGGCTGTAGCTCAGCAGCAGAGTGAGACCCGAGTCTACCCCCGGCACTCCCTCCCAAATAACACTAATAATCTCCTTTGGAGCTGGGGTGTGGCTTAGTAGTAGAGCCCTTGCTTAGCACACAAGAGACTCTGGGTTCCATCCCAAGCTCCAGGCAGGTTTCCACGCCTGTATGCATGACCAATGACCACAGCCATGTGTGAGCAGCATGGCACTGCCCCACCGGTACTCACGTGAAGGCAGGATTATCCTTGTAGTCCTCCATAGCTACTTTCTCTAGCTCAGGGCCTCCTTCTGCCACAAAACGGGCCAGCTTCTCTATCACTCTCCGAGTCTCGGCTCCCTCTGGGGGTGAAACTTTAAGGAGGCTGTCAGTACGGGGCTCCAACTCACACACCCAACAGTCACTAGGTACACTCTCTCTATAGACCGCAACGACAGGGGGAGAGGAGCAGGAGATGCAGGAGGCTGCTGACAGCCATGCACCCGGCTCTGGAGGATGCTTGGTCTCTACAGTCAGACAAGCCGCTGGCAGTGAACCATCTCCAGGTTAAAAGAGGCCACTGGGAAAGTATATACAGTCTCTAGTCTGTACGTGTGTTAATTTTTTTTAAGGCTTTTTGTTTGTTTGTTTTTCCAGACAGGATTTCTCTGTGTAGTTTTGGTACCTATCCTGGATCTCGCTCTGTAGACCAAGCTGGCCTCAAACTCACAGAGATCTGCCTGGTTCTGTCTCCCAAGTGCTGGGATTAAAGGTGTGCACCACTACCGCCCAGCTGTTTTTGTTTTTTGATACAGGGTTTCTCTGTGTAGCCCTGGCTGTCCTGGAAAGATCTGTAGACCAGGCTAGCCTTGAACTTAGAGATCCACCTGCCTCTGTTGCCTCCTGAGTGCTGGGATTAAAGGTGTGTGCCACCATGCCCAGCTGTTCCTTTATTTCTTTCCTTTAGATTTATTTTTATTTTATGAACATTGGTGTTTTGCCTACCTGTAGATCTGTGTGAGGGTGCCAGATGCCCTGGAACTGCCATGTGAGTGCTGGGAACTGAACCCGGGTCCTCTGGAAAAGCCGCCTGTGCTTTTAACTGCTGAGTGGTCTCTCTAGCTCCTCAACTGCTCCTTTTCATTTCTTGTATGCGTATGCAGGTGCAGATGTATGTGAAGGCGAGGCTAGGGCATAACCTCCAGTGAAATTCCTCAGAACTGTCCACCTTTCTTCTTTCTTTCTTTCCTCTTTTATTTAAAAGATTTACTTACTTTAGGTTTTGTTTGTTGTTGTTCGGGTTTTTTGCTTGTTTGTTTTTTGAGACAGGGTTTTTCTGTGTAGCCCTGGCTGTCCTAGAAAGATCTGTAGAACAGACTGGCCCTTGAATTCAGATATCTGCCTGCCTCTGCCTCCTAAGTGCTGGGATTAAAGTCATGCATCATCACTGCCTGGTTTTATGATTTTGAGTGTTTTGTCAATGTGCATGTCTGTGTACCATGTACACGGCTGTCACAAATGGTTGTGAGCCACCAGGTGGGTACTAGGAACCAAACTTGAGTCCTCCAAAAGAGTAGCAACAAGTGCTCTTAACTGTTGAGCTATCTCCCCAACTTTTTTTTTTTTTTTAATTTTAATTTCTGATTCAGGGACTCTCCTGGAACTTGCCAAGTACACTAAGCCTGAGCTATCTCCCCAACTCTTTTTTTAAATTTAATTTCTGATTCAGGGTCTCTCCAGGAGCTAACCTGGCTAGCTAGGGAGCCATACCTGTCTCCACATGCCTGGCACTAGGATTACAGCACGTGTCACCACACCCCACATTTTCCTTTTCTCTTCAATGTGAGCTTTTTGATCAAACTCAGGACCCCCATGCTTACGAGCCATGAGGACACCACACACTTTCCTGGCTGAGCTATCTTTCCAGCTCTAACAATTCTCCTTCAAAATCATCACACGCTGTGAACTGGACATCGGGTGGACTTCAGTTCATTGTGTTGAAGCTGCCTCCCAAGCACAATGGATGTGATTCCTGGAGTTTCTGATGGATTACCTAGTGCTCCGGTAATCTCTTGCACCCTCATACACTCACAACCAGCCAAATCTCCAAGTGGTCTGGGTTAGTGTTGGTGGGAAAGTATACTGGCAGCCTGCCTTCTGGGCACCAGCATACCCACTTCCTCATGCTCCATCATTCAATCACTATCTCAGAGATACAATGTTGTGTGTGTGTGTGTGTGTGTGTGTGTGTGTGTGTGCCCACTCCCCTCACCCTACCCCCACCATAGGGTTTCTCTGTGTAGCCCTGGCTGTTCTGGAACTTGCTCTGTAGACCAGGCTGGCCACAAACTGATGATCTCTCTGCCTTTGCCTCCCAAGGGCTGGGATTAAAGGTGTGTGCCACCACTGCTCAGCTGTTTTTTTCTGCAGGTTGTCCTTGGACTAGTTTAAGGTTGGTCTTAAATTCCTGACACCCCACCCCCCGGCTTCAACCTTCTGAGTGTTGAGATAACAGACATGCATCACCATGCCCTAGTTATGCAGTGCTGGGAATGAAACCCAGGGGATCTGTATATGCTAGGCAAATACTAAACCAAATGACTGACACACACACACACACACACACTCCCCCAAGCCTGAGAATATCTCTTTACAGGTGGATTAGCTGCCTATTTGAGGCAGGTGGAACTTGCTTTTTTATTTCTTCCTGGCCTAGTCCTGAGGTTGAGTCTGTTAGTCATTGTATGGACCATATCCTCCTATGACTATCACAAGGGAAATAGCTCACTGTCATCTGGTGGCTGGCCATTAGGACAGATGCTGAGTGCACAGCTAATCTTACACTCCTTGTTGCTTGGTTACCAGGAAGCACAGGAGTGGGATAGAGGAGATAAAAGTACATATGACCTAAGGTGGATCCCAGGAGTCCTGAGGCAGTCTATGCTGGATCTTGTTCCAGCTCCATCTTCCCCCCACCTGCTCTCTGTGTAGAGAAGCTAATGTAAGGCCACATCAATTGATGCCTGAACCAGGTGCTAAGGCCTTGAGAGCATTAGCAGAGCCTCCAACCTGCTCTGGTGACCCTCATTCAGAAAAGGCTGCCATGGCATAGCTAAATGATCATTTTGACCTCTGTGTCAGGGTGACAAGGTATGCAGCTAGTTCTCCACAGGGTCTTGCTGTCACAGAGCCTTGTTCTGAATGATGTGGAGCTGAGTCACTACAAGAGAATGACCACTGTCAGCCTGAGACCAGAGACCACCTTCCCCATGTGGGAGCACATCCTCCAATCTTTACATTCTGAACTTCTAGCCCAAAATGTAGACACAGCCACAGAAGCTCCTGCCTCGGCTGACCTGAGGCCCTATCCAGGAAAACTTCTTTGATGGGCTGTGACAGCAGCCACTGTTCTCAGAATGGGGCTGGTGTCCTTGGCAGGGCTCTTCCAAGACTTCCCAGGATGGCCCCTCTGCTCAAACCCCACAGCTTCACTTAGGCACCTGTGGGTTGCTGACCCAAGCCACAGCGCTGTGTGCCAGGCTCTAACCACAGCTGCCATGACAGTGGGTAGGAGCCACGGCCATCCCACAATTTACCTTTGATCTCCAGCCATTGCTCATAGTCCTCCTCATCATCATCATCAGGGGATTGGAAGACGCTCGGCCGGTGTGCAACGGGCAGCTGCTTGGCATGTGAGTAGTTCTTCACAGGGCCCAGCGGGCTGCCCAGCCCCAAGCCTGTCCGCTTGCTGAGTAGGAGGGGTCTCTTCAAGGTGCTGGGCGTTGGCATGCTGGGAGGGGCACTGGGGGGTGGATCTGGGTTGGACAAGAGAAAACACACACTGGAGATCCGCAGAGGGCAGTGCTGTGGACACACCCATAAAGCATGGTCATCATGGCAACAGTCATCTTCAGGCATGCCACGGTTCTGCAGACGCCCTAGACCTCTAAAGTCCCCCCCCCCCCCCCCGCCCCCCAGGCCGTGGAAAGTGGGCTGGGGCACAGGAGAGAGGACTTTCAGGGTAACTAGCTACAAGAGCATATGCCAGGGCTTGGCAGGCGGCAGCTCTTGCTCGATGTGCCTCTGCACACCACACCCAGAATGGAAGGCAGTCAGCTCCTAGGTGAGACACCAGCCTCCACATTCCAGGTCACAGCCTCCCTAAACTGAACCTGTGGCCCCGAGGGTGAAGGGCTTAAACAATGTGTCCTCTTCTGACAAAGGCAGATTTAAAGCCTGTTTCAGTAATGAGCTCCAACTGGGCTGTGTGGCTTCCTTGTGCCTGGATTTCCACCCAATGGGGCAAGCTCCAAGATGTGCTGGGGTATACCGGCCCCTCTCCTAAGACCCTACATGTGGACAGGGCCTGGGGTTGAAAACCTGTAATCTTAGTTACTCCTGAGACTGTGGCAAAAGGCGGATTTCAAGGCCAGTTTGCGATACATAGTGAGTTCAAGGTCAGCCTGGGCAACTATGTCTTGTCTCAAAATGAAAAGCTAAAACAGGGCTCTTCTGAGCACGCATGAGAACCCGGGTTCAGTCAGTAACCCCCCCACAATGGGTACAATTAAGCCCATGACAAGGCAGCACAAACAGGCAGGTGAACTCAGCACAGGCGCTGCACACTCTAGCCTTACTCTCCAAAGCCTCAGTTTCTAAGTGTAAAACGCGTTCCTGGCTATGTGATGCTTCAGAAGCTGAACTCAGGCCGAGATCTGTAGGTACCCTCAGGGTCTAAAGAGAACCCCTCACCAAACAGAAGCAGTGCCTCATTGCTGAGGACAGGACGACCAAGACTGTCAGACACGTCCCGTCAGCAATGGGTTCCTGGCATTGGGAACGCAGAGGGAGCATGCTACAATTTCCCCATGTTTTCTATTACTAAATAAAAAGACCAGGGGCTGGAGGGATGGCTCAGCAGTTAAGAGCACTTACTGCTCCTGAAGAGAACCTGAGCCCAGTTCCCAATACCCATCCATATCAGTGACCCTCTGGCTGCCAAGGGCTTCTGCAACCACAAGATGCACATGAACTCATACAAGCCCACATACATATGAATTAAAAATCAAATCAAAAAGTCTTAATGAAAAAAGCCAGGCAGTGCACACCTTTTATCCCAGCACTCAAGAGGCAGAGGCAGTTAGATCTCTGAGTCTGAAGCCAACCTAGGCTTCATAGTGAGTTCCAGGCCAGCCAGGGCTACATGAAACCCTGTCTTTTTTGTTATTGTTACTTATTTTTTTTTAGATTTTTTATATGTTTGAGTGTTTTGCCTGCATGTATATCTATGCACCATGTGCATGCCTGTTATTCACAAGATAAGTGTTGGATCCTCTGGAACCCGAGTGGTTGTGGGCCACCATGGTGGTGCTGGGAAATGAACCTTGGTCCTCTACAAGGGCAACAAGTGCTCTTAGCAGCAATTTTAAAAAAAGGATCAGAAGGCAGGCTGGTGGTGGGTTATTTCTTTAATCCCAGCACTCTGGAGGCAGAGGCAAGCTGATCTCTGAGTTCAAGGTCTGCCTGATCTACAGAACGAGTTTCAGGACAGCCAGAGCTACACAGAGAAATCCTGTCTCGAAAAACAAAAACAAACAGATCAGAAGTAAAAATGATGGGACATCAAGCCTATGGATTCAGGTACAAGGATGCATGTTTCATCAAATTTCAAATAGACATGTGGCAGCAGGGTTGATGAGGATTCTCTGCCCACAGGCTATATGAAGGAAGATGACAGAAAGGCAGGGCAGTGGCCTGTATGGTGCCAAGTGCAGGAAGCACTGGCTGGAGATGGCACTCAATAAACTCTTGCGACATCTGATCATTAGGTGACTTGGTCACTTCCAGAATGCCTCCCTGTCCTGCACCATCCAAAGCAGGCCTAAATGTGTCATCTTCTGACACAACTTGGGTATCTCAAGCCAGCTTGGTGCTAGTATACAGCCCACCCGCAACCCACTGGGAACCCTCTGGGCCCATTACGGGACATGCAGGACCCAACCCTTCTGGTGGCAGCCTGTCTTGTCATCCCACAGGAGAACAATGAGCGCACTTAATGGTCCAACGTGGGACCTGTCACCCCCCAATGTTCCAGAGAACCTGGGGGACAGAGGCTGGGGTGGGAGGGCTGGTTGCACTCACCTGTGCTCGTCTGTGCCTTCTGCAACTTCAGAAACTGCTGCAAGAAGCTGCCATCATTGGCAAACTTGTTGGAGATACAGGAGTCATGTGCATTGGCAATTCTAGAACCAAAGCATGGGTGACAGTGAACTGCAGAGGAAGAGAGCCAAGGACAGGGCTAATGCACTGACATTCCTGGCCCTACACCCATCTTGTGCTCTTCTGCTGAGAGCCAGATTGCAGCCCCAAAGATGTCAGGGGACAATTTAGGTTCAACATTTTGAACTTACCAAGATAGGATAGGTATGGAGTAGTTTCTCAGAATTTGTCAAATGTTAGTGGACTAGACATTATTGACCTAATTATTGCCTGTATATATTGTATATAGTTATTGTACTTATTGTATATAGTTTTTCTTATATTAGTTATAACCTTTTTTAATTTTACACAAAAAATGGAAAATGTGATTTTGTGTATGCTCTAACAAATGAAGCTTGCCTGAAGATCAGAGGGCAAAGCCAGCCACTAGTTAGCCATATGGGCCAGGCAGTGGTGGCACACACACCTTTAATCCCAGCACTAGGGAGGTCGACACAGGAAATGATATGGCTGGCAGAGAAAGAAATATAAGGTAGGAGGAGACAGGAGCTCAGCCCTTTCAGGCTGAGGATTCGATAGAGGTAAGAAGTCTTTCCAGTGGCTGACTGTTCTGCTTCTCTGATCTTTAAGCTTTCACCCTGATAACTGACTTGGAGCTTTTATTAAGACCATTAGAATGTGCACTACAGACAGTGGTTAAGTGCAGGAAACAGGCATACATGGAGTAGGCTGACAGTACCTCTGCCTTGGTGAAAATAACAATGCACATACTTGGGCTACCTCTGCTTGAGTTCCAGCCCTGTGGTCCTAGTGGCCCCCATCAATATGGCTCATGCTCTTTTGCTGCACAGCACATATCTTACTGGATAACTATGACCTGGCTTATTGTTCACTATGTATCACAGCTATCTCTAGAGCAGGATGCTTATTGTTCACTGTGTATCACAGCTATCTCTAGAGCAGGATGTGTGTGTGCACCTTGTGACTTTAGTTAGTTTTTTGAGACAGGGTCTCTCTATGTACCCCTGGCTATCCTGGAACTCCCTCTGTAGATCAAGTTGGCCTCAAATTCAGAGATCCACCTGCCTTTGCTTCTTGAGTTCTGCAATTAAAGGCATGCACCACCATGTTCAGCTTTGTGGTTTTATTCTGTTTGCTTTTGTGACAGGGTCTTATGTAGCCAAGAATGGCCTATTATAACTCCTGATCTTCCTGACTATACCTCCAAGTGTCAGGATTGCAGGTATTGGCTACTAAACCTAATAGTTTGGCTTTTTTCCCCCTTGAAAATGTGTCTTACTATGCTTGGTTGGCCTAGAACTCACTACATAGCCCAGGCTGGCTGAAAACTTGCAAAGGTCTCTTGCCTCATTCTTCTAAGCACTGGGATTTGTACAAGTGTCGCCATACCTGGCATTAATGTGTATCACCCACATATACATAATCTGGCAGAAGCTTCCATAGGTAACATGCTCACAGGGAACACCCACAGCAAATGCCCAGAGCTGAAGGGATCTGCTATATATTGTGCTGTGAGGGCTTGCTCCTTGTCATTCTTTGATTTAGAGACAGTGTCACATCCTGCAGTTTCCCTGTCTCGGTCACCTGAATGCAGGCAGAAACCATTTGCCTGGCGCAAAAAAAAAAAAAAAAAAAAAAAAAAAAAAAAAAAAAAAAAAAAGCCTTTTCTGTGTTTTAGGCAGGTGCAGCAGCTGTACCTTGTAGTCCTGCCTCTTGGGCAGCTGGGGCAGCAGGATGGCTTGAGCACAGAAGGAAATAATGAGCCACCATCTCCAGATGAAGAGAACTGGTGTTTAGCATGTGCAAGGCCTAGGAGTCTATCCCAAGCACCAAAAACACTGTAACAATTAGTTGCTGGAAAAGCACCCCAAAATTCAAGTGGCACTCAAGTCTGATGTCAGGGTTGAATGACATTGGCTTTTCTTTGTTTCTTCTTCTATTTCTTGGATTTCCTATCATGCACATACATGATTTTAAAATATTTTTAGGGGGCTGGAGTGTTGGCTCAGTGGTTAAGAACATCTGCTGTTCTTGCAGAGGACCTGGTTTGATTCTCAGCACCTACATAGTGGCACACATCTACCTGTAACTCCAGTTCCAGGGGAACATCTGATGCCCTCTTCTGACCACCTCAGGCACTAGGTATGCACATGGTACACAAACATACATGAGGGCAAAACACTCACACACATAAAATGATGAAATAAATTATTTTTAAAAAGAAATTAAAAATTTATTAAATTACATTTACTTATTTATTGTAGTGTGTACAGGTCTGTGTACCATGGCACATGTGGAGGTCAGACAACTTGCAGGATCTCCTGTCATCATGTGGGTACTAGGGATTGAACTCAGGTCACAGCTTGACAGCAAGCACCTTTACCCACTGCGCCATCTTGTTGGCACACAGGTTCTTACTAAGTTTAACAATGAAAAGGTCCCTAGCTGCTCCTGGGTTTTGACATCAAAACAATAAAGGCAACCAAACAAAAGCAAAAGTCAAAGCTTTCTGACACACCAGAGAAGTCTCTGCTGCTTAGGAGCTGAGGCCCTCGAGGACACTCAGGCCCTGTCACTGCCCTCACACGGCTCCAACACCTAAGGTGGAATCGTGTGGCATCTGCATGGGACACAGAGTTCTTCCATATACGGTTAATGATCTCTAGATGTTACGAGTAACTACTGCACCCAGATGCTGTGCAATCAATTGTCAATCTGTGTTGCTTAGTGAACAATGCTGACAAGATAAACCCAGCTGCTGGGGCTGTGTGACCCCCAAACTCAGAAGCGATGCAAGAAAACCTTGTCTCAAAAAGTGGGGACAGCTCAGGCCAGTGCTTGCCATGAAAGTGAAGACTAGAGCTCCACCCCAGAAACATGGGAACGGCCAGGCAAGATGGTGTGTGCAGACACAGTATCCCTTGGGTTTGCTGACCACTATCTGGTGAGTTATACGTAGGACAGTGAGAAGCTCTTTCTCAAAAAACAATCTGGCCAGGCATGGTGGTACATGCCTTTAATCCCAACACTTAGAAGGCAGGTGGATCTCTGTGAGTTCAAGGACAACCTGGTCTACACAGCAAGTTCTAGTCCAGCTTGGATTACACAGTGACACCCTGTCTCCAAAAAAAATTAAAAAAAAAAAAAAAAATGCCATGTGACACTTAGGCTTATCTGAGAGAAATCCTGTATTGAAAAACAAACAAGCCGGTGGTGGTGGTGCACGCCTTTAATCCCAGCACTCGGGAGGCAGAGCCAGGCGGATCTCTGTGAGTTCGAGGCCAGCCTGGGTGAGTGAGCTCCAGGAAAGGCGCAAAGCTACGCAGAGAAACCCTGTCTCGAAAAACCAAAAAAAAAAAAAGAAAAACAAACAAACAAAAAAAGACAATCAAAATATAAACAACTCCTAAGGAAAGATACCCAAAGGCTGCTCCCTGGCCTCCACATGTGTGCATACATGTGCAAGCACAAACCCGTACACAAATACAAACTAAAATTTAAAATACAAAAAGCACATAATGTTCAGTATACACACACTGCCCCTCCATTTTCTTCTTCTCCATCCCCACAGATGCACCACAGGGCCTCAAGCAGGCTAGGTGAGCACTCTACCAATGGACTATGGTGACAGGCTAGGTGAGCACTCCTCCAATGGACTATGGTGACAGGCTAGGTGAGCACTCTACCAATGGACTATGGTGACAGGCTAGGTGAGCACTCC